AATTTTCTTTAATTTTTTAAAGACTTGAATGTGTATAAAACAAAAGTTTAAGTACTAAAATATGCAACAAATATTAGTTTATAGATAAAAATTACACATGAAACAAAAGTTTAAGGACCAAAATGGATAAAACTGACAGAATTAATTACCAAAAAAAAAAAAAGGCATTTTTGGAAAAAGGTATAGAAAGGTAGGGACTAAATTTTTTAAAAATTAAAGTTCAGGGAAATGTGGCATTTAATCTTTTGATACATAGCAGGATGAAGTGGAGATAGAGGCAAAGGTTGCAGGGAACAGGGGAAGACTTACCTCAGTCGTGGTGGAAGTCAGAAACAAGAAAAATCGGCAGCTTATTGCATCGGGCAAACAGTGGGCCTGTTTGATTAGTTCGACATCACTCAAAAGCAACAGTAAGCTTTGAGATTTTCATCTTTCATAGACCTAGGCAAGAAAAGTAAAATGTCACCAGGGACACAAAGGCTCAAGATCAAGAGCCATCAAAAAAAGACTTTGCTTGTTTTCAGCCATGGAATCTAAATCAAAAATAAAACATTGCAAGTAGAAAGAACAATGTCAATCATTCATCATATTTGGCCAAAAAAAAAGGTCATTTATCATAATATCAAATAGGAAGCTCGTTGTGCATCAAAAAAAAAAAAAAAAGGAAGCTCGTTAGATGAGTACATTGTTCGCAGATTGTCCTAATTAGGCAGCTTCAATATTTTTCGCAGATTGTATCGGGCTCTGAACATAAATAGAAAATTCATTATCTGTATCACTTAGTACAAGGCAAAATAGTGAAATACTATCTAACAAGTACTACTGTATAAACAGAAAAAAGAAAGGTGTAACAGGGAAACCTAAACAAATTCACACACAACCATTCCTAACTTATAGTGACAAGAATCTACTCATTTATATCAGTAGATGCCCCATTCAAATAATTAATTTTGAGTGTTCAATTTTAATTTTGTTCTTAAGCAACAATCATTGCTCAAGATCATGACAGGAAATTAAAATATATCAAGCCATATTTTCTTATAATATATATTCCATCTAATTATGTTTGCTGTACCATATCGTTATATTTGTAACATCTACCAAGTTTTTAACTAAACATACTCTACCAATGAAACCTCGGCGTAATGGAAAGGCTAAGGTTTTGGAATCTTGAGATTGGGCAGCTACGAATTAACACATTGCAACTAACAAAAGCTTGATCAAGTTGGTATTCATTGATTTAAAATCTTAGATTTGAGGTTAAGATTAAAAATTTAAATCTCTATAATATCAAACCGCTAATCTATTGATATATATATATATATATATAAAAACACATTACAAAACTACATAATAGTTTGCATTGTTGTTGGTGCAATCTAACCCAAATGTAAATTGGTTCATGGAAGAGTTCTATCAATGCAATCCAAAGTGAACATACAACAGACAATTTTATTAATGTCTTGTTAGTCTAAATAAAAAAAACTTGATTTCTCTTAAACAAAATTTTAAATTTGAATTTTGTGAATAAAAAAAATAAGTGTTAGGAGAGCTTCTCCTCTTATATGAGGTTTGATATAGTTCAATTTCAAATTAGTCGAGACCCAATGTGATTTATGAATATTACAGATTAATACAAAAAAAAAAAAAGATAGACAATTCTTTAATTAGTTGAATTAGGAATCGTTTGCATTTTTTGTTGGTGTCAAAGCAATTAATTACTTTTAATTATATGTAAAGACATTTGTAGAATTCGACAAACAATTATTTAATTAGTTGAACCCGTAATATATATGGTCAATTCAGTGTAATTGCTTTACATCTCTACATTGCATTGAGTTTTACACATCAAAATTGCACCGTTCATTAACCAAAAATAGCATTGAGATTTCATTAATGTTTAATCTAACTTTGCTCTAACGGCACTGTCCCGACATTACTCCCATTATTATATGCCCCCTGCTCCTATTAAGCAAGCCCAATATAAAAAAAATTAAAAAAACCTTAGCCGTTTTCTTGGCTAGATCCCCCATTTTTGATAGATTTAACCCTGATCTTTTTCCAGTCACAGAATTATTTTTCCCTCGGCTAACCGTCTGGGAGGAGCTGTTGCCTTGTTAATTTTGACTGACCGTTGCGTGATTTGTGTTCCCTAAAATTTAGTACAGCTGCAAAATTATTGAAGTTTACATTCCGATGGTTCTCCGCTGTGCTGAGATTCTCTTTCCTTGTTCACCGCATTCTGGCGTCCTTTACGCCACTGGACAATCATAGCGCTTGCCTGTCCGCATGTTCCGGACTAGATTTGCCTTATTTCTTCCTGTGAAGGGGGGATGCTCTCGAATGAGAGAGCACTCAGCCATTCCTCTGCAATTTAATTCTCTATACCATAACCATGGAAGCATATAACGGTTTGCGTAGTATCAACAGGTTACCTGATGAAGTTCTTTCGAACATTGTCTCATTTCTTCCTTTGAAAGATGCAGTTCGTACCTCTGTACTGTCAAAAAGGTGGAGGTATATCTACACTTCAAGTTCAAACCTCGTATTTGATTTTGGAGGTTTCCTTAATTCTGAAGATAGTATGCCGGAGCCGATTGATGTCATCGATGTTGTGAATAAGGTATTATTTGCCCGTAGCGGAAGTCCTATAAATAAATTTTTTCTTGGTGGCTTAGACTCACAACCTCTTGACCTTCAGTGCCTTGAAAGTTGGATAAGTGATCTAACATTGCATGGTATTCGAGAGATAGAGCTTAGATTATTTCTTAATGCGTATCGGTTATGTCTAACTAGTTTATTTACTAGTAAGACATTGGTGATTCTAAAGCTGGTTATTGTGCCATCAGATTCTATTTTTGAAATCCCCACCAAAGTTTCTCTCCCAAGCCTAAAGGAGCTTCATCTCGATAGCGCTATCCCCTTTTCCAATGATAATTCAGCTGAAAGCTTGCTTTCTAACTGTCCTATTCTTGAGCATTTGTTCTACATGTTCAGAGATAAGGATTGTAAATTCTTTGTTTCTCATCCTACACTTAAGAGTCTCTCCCTAGATTGCATGTGTAAGGAAGGACGGTCTATAAATTTTGAGATCGCGATTAATGCCCCAAGTCTTGTGTTCTTGAAATACAATGTACAAGATGTAAATTCTCATAATTTTGTAAACGTGCAATCTCTTACTGAAGCCGATATTGGTTTTTATCACAAGGAAGTCGATCATCTGCGTTACACCAATGTTGCAACTGATTTGCTGAAAGGGATAAGCAAAGTTCAAAAACTTGCAATATCGGTTGCAACTCTAGAAGTAAGTTTTCTAGGTGCTTGTTCCAATAATGAAAATGAATTGGCTAGTCTCTCATTTAGTTATTTTCCAAAAGCCAAATCTATGTAGCTAACTACTTTCTTTTTGCAGGATCTCTTAAATTTCGGCATACCAATCCCTGTGTTGCATAATTTGTCTCATTTGACACTTTTCGATTGCAATGATGATCATGACTCGTCAATATTGCTACGTTTACTAGCACGTTGTGAGTCTTTGGAAACCCTTGTTTTTAAGGTATGAAATCAAATCACCGTGATTGAATGCTAGTGCAGAATAAAGATTATATGTGGCTTATTCTATATATACATGTTTCTATTCAGGTATTTCCAGATAAGTGGAATCTCGATGCTTTGTACTCCCTAGGGGAGTCTAGAATTAGTTGTTTGCTGTCTCGGCTTAAGACAATCGAAATTGAGGAATTCGGAGAAACCGTGTTCGGGGAAATCGATAATCAGATGGAATTGGTGAAGTATTTAATGAGTGAGGCAAAAGTACTAGAGAGCGTGAAAGTTCAAATTGCTTGGGGACCATATGAAGCACAATTGCGGATAGCTAACAAGTTATCGACGTTACCAAGAGCGTCAAAAACATGCGGACTCTTAATTTGTTACAAATCTTACAATTTGTGCTAACAATTGTATAAACTTAACAGACCAAACTAATGAAGGGATTAAAAAAATTTATTTTTCGTAATTGAAGATGAAAATAGTGTGAAAGATAATTTATGAATTAAAATTATTCAGAATTGAAAGTTTAAGAATTAAATTTAGAGTTTAACCTATATATAATGAGAGCTATCTGACAATTTTTGCATTTTTCATTTATGAACTCCATAAACTTCTAGAGATGGTAAAGAAGGTGATGCCTTAAATTTTTCCGTGTTTAGTGTTAATTTATCTATTACCCTAAATCCCAACGAATTCAACTCAATTGGTTTTGGACGGATTGCTGACGCCATTCGTCAAAAAAGAGGTTTTTTTGGCGCCGTTAAAGAGTTTGAGGGGTCGTATGCTATTGATTTAGGTTGAGGAACTATATATTATGTTACTGGTCAACAAGTTCAAGGGTTTTTTTCTTTTTTTGCATGATTTTCTAATTTTATCAGACACGTTTGTCGTTGTCTGGTTATCTGCAAATGGCTTAACCCCCTAAGATGACCTCAAACATGTTGTCTTTGAGGCTTTTAAGGCTTTTAACCCCCAACATGCAAGATAACAATGTAAGCCCATGAACTGTGGGTCATTTACACAATTGGACCAAAATAAATGGCAACATGTCATGCGACTCACGTGCAGTGTGTATTCCGTCAATGATTGCTTCATTGAGGCAACGCTAGACGGCTCCCCAGGCGCAATAGTCCACGCTGGCAAAAATCGCGGGATATCTTTCCTCCAATCACAAAAAGGGACACAGCTAACTTTGACCATAAGAAAAAAAAAAAAAAGGTCCAAGAACAAATGATTTTTTTTTTTTAATCGTAAAGAACAAAAGATTTTTTTGGTGTTACAGTAAAAGAATCTTTATTAGACCATATGACACAAAAGAGTAACAAACAAAAAATTTTATGTTATATACATAGAATAGTGTAGAGTAGATCGTTTTTTAAAATTTATTTTT